CCGCCCCCACCCCGCCCCGTTGCCATCCCTACTCTAAACTGCACAACGCAGGCCACAACGCGTGTTGTGGAATGCGTGGAACTTTATGTTTCCCGACAACGCACTTCACAACGCGCGTGGGAACACGTTCGTGGGAATTTTTCATTCTTGTCTTCGGCAAAGTCGTAGCCCTTGAAGTTGCCGAACAATAGCCACTTGAATCACCTCATTTGGACACTCCTAACTCAAGATATGATCAATCTACTGAACTATCGCCGGAATGCCCTACAATTGACAATGTTTTGCTCTTTTTTCCAAAGGCAATCACAATTAGTCCTTAATCCTAATTTCTACCAATTTAAGCACAAAATAGGTTCAAAGGACTCCACTTATAGCACAAAATGCCTCCTAATTACCCTATCAAACATGGCATATTTGGCACTTATCAATAATATATGAAGTTTTTCAAAATCAATCAATCCGTAATAAGAGGACTGAATGCATTTTCTGGAGAATAAATCTGAACACTAAAGAATGCAATGTTTTCCCCATACTGATCTTCAAAAAATTCTCAGAAATAAGTTGATTCTAGAGCATCATAATCACTTAGTTTCTATTGGAACAATTACCCCAACATTCGGAAAAGAAAAATTATTAGGGATAAGATTATGAGAAGATAAGGGGATTTCATATCAGGGAGAAATCTCATGATTAGTTGACTTTGATGCCATTGGCATGACCTGCAAATCCCAATCGTTTTTCATGGTGGAATGGTAAACTTGACACCTTAAATAAGTCTCGCAAGTGGTTGTGCTTATCAATCATATCCTACCATGGTCGGCGCTAGCAACGACATTGTCTCCAAAAGTGCTAGTAGCTTCCCTATCTCCGCCATAGTGGTGTGGCTGGCGTTGGAAACCAACAGTTGCCATTGCTGAATCCCACCGCTCACTGGCTATTCCACCAACCTTTTCATATCGCCCAAATCCAGAATTGCACTTACCATTCCCTATATATGCTACTCCCTTTAGGCCGCCTAGTTCCTTAATCTTTATGGAAATATCATTCCTGTTGGATAATATATCTTTGTCGATTGGAATAAGTTGAACATTCTTGAAAGGGCCTTCATTGGCAGAACCCAGTTCTCCTTTCTTGATCTTCCAAAATAGTTTCTTCACCACCGCTTCCAGCTCTCCTTCACCCACCAACTAATTGTGCGTAAATGGCAGAAGGGGGAGAAGGGAGGGAAGAAATTGGGAGAAAATATTAAGTGATGTGTGCAATTCCAAAATTATCCCTACCTTAAACATATTCTAACGTGAAAAATACCGGATGGAATAAATTGTCTAAAGTTAGAAAGATTGAGGGATTGAATTTGTTAAAATTGGAAACCAGGGACTACATTGCATATACAGTAATAATTGAGAGATCAAAAGTGTGATTTTCCCTTAAAAGATTAGATCGATGATGCGTTTATTATTTATATATGAAGAGTGTGTGTGTTGGATCAAATGAGAACAAGTCCTTAAAAGAGAAATAAGAACTAATCATAGCCTTACATCTGATAAAAAAAACAGATGGATCACATCAGATCAAAAAACGCAGTGACATTTTTGTAATTATGATCAACTTTACTATGCAAACTTGAACACTAAAATCTGTAATTTTTAACTTTTCCAGGTTTGCACATTTAGTACTAATATTTCTTACATCCGTGGTTACATAGGAATACTTCAAACTCTTGTTTTTTGATATGCAAACTATTGATTGAACATTTATGTTCCATTGCTACTATGGTTAGGGGTGGGAATAGGCCAGGCCCCTTGTAGGGGCCTATGTCCAGGCCTAATTAAAGCCTAGTTAGGCCTAGCTCGTTTAGTAAAAAGGCCAGGCTTGAGCCAATTTCAAAGCCTATTAAACTAAACAGGCTAGGCCTATATATACCAGGCTCGGCCTTCAGGCCTACAGGCCTGGCCTATATATAAATATATATTATTTAGAATATAACCCCAAGTATATATAATTACCAAACCCTAACCCTGCACCTCCAAAATTTCATTATAAATTATGACTCAACTATAAACATTGCTGTTAATCCTGCTATGAGTGTTCTTATTGTGTAATTTTTTTTTTATTAATTGTTCTTACAATCATAATATTTAATGAAATGTCACAACTTAATTATGTGAGTAGATTGTTAATTATTTACAATATTATATAGGATAACAAACAATAATACAATTGAATTTATTTCTAAACAAGTTAACGAGCATGCTGAAGTCGTGACTTGTTTTGTTTTATTTTATATTTATTTGCTATTATGTTTGCATTGTGGTGATGATATACTTATGTAATTATGTATTATTTTGTATTAGGTACATTTCTTATATTATTTAAATATACTAAAGTTTTAACATGTAGGCTTTAATAGACTCAAGGTAGGACTTGCTTTGAAACATTTTTAATGACCTAAATATTAAACAGGCTTTTAAGGAGGCTTCAGGCTAGGCCAGGCTAATTGCAGGCTCAGGCTTGAGCCTAACAAGAAGCCTACATACAGGCTCAGGCCTGGGCCTAGGCCTTAGATTTTCGTAACGGGCCCAGGCCTAATTTTCAAAGCTCGGCTCGGCTCGGCCCATTTCCACCCCTAACTATGGTTTCTCGAGCACTTTAGTTCTATGTATTTGATGCATCATCTGCCCGCTGAGATATATAAATGCAATCTATTAATGACAAAATCATATAAAATATGAGTTTCTTCTCTTGCTTAATGAGAAGAATGAATTGTATTAAGATATTGAAGTAGTTTTTGAGTGTTGCCTATACAACATTTTTTGGGCATATGGTAGTAGATAATAAATGCTTGTAATAATGGTCAGATTGATAACTAGATTGCTAAGAACTTTATAGACTAACACATTATTGGTGAATTGTCTTTTATTTTTATTGTCTTTGTATTGCAGAATGCATTATCTAAGGAGCACTTTCTTGAGAAATATGGTGATATATAACACATCTTTATATGACAAAGGTTTAATTTATACCTTTTGTTCTTCTCTTATGCCCTCATGTCACTTAACAAGCCTGATATTTCATTGCTTTTTATGCAGCAAAGATTAGATGCTCTTGAGAGCTAGTACTTGATCATCGCAACCGAATTTAACTTGATATTGCTTCTTTTTTTTTTAATGGATTATTATAGTGTTGTTTAGACAATTAATAACTTGTATCTTCTAGTTTGAACATATTTTGCTTGCTTACATGCCGTGTGAAAACTTACTGAAGAATGAAAGTGCCAAGTTCCAAGCAATCTATATGAGAAGTTCATCAGCAAGGGGAAGGCTACACATTTGCAGACTCTGAAAGGTATCTTTCTTAAATGCTTGCCGGTTGGCTTAGTCCAACCAAAAAAGATGATTTTGGATATTGTAGACCTAGTTTTGAGAACCTTATAATATATACTGATGACTGCGTTGAGGATATTTGACAAATGTTGTGAACAAATATGAGGAAGAAAAGGAAAAGTTATTCACACTATATGTGCAACTATGTTCAAGCCTCAGTGGAGGTATTATTAGCTTTTTGTGCTTCAGCAGGTTGAGAAAGTAGTTATGAACAGATACTACATTGTAATAAAGTTAGTAGCATTCAAAAAAAAAAAAAAAAAGTGAGTAAAGAAATGATGTATTTCATGTTTATAAATTCAAAAATTAAGAGACTAATATAGAGATGTCAAATTTTGATTTGTTTTAAATTTTCTACTGCATATTGATGAATGAATTTTCTTCAAGCATATGAAATGTGTATATGTTTTCAGCATCTTACCAAAATAGTGGTCGGAAATGTTTGATGTTATTTGTCACCAGTTTTCTGACCACCGGTGACCAGCCAACGAAACTTTTCCATACGGTGGCGAAAATTTTCTACGCCACTATTTTGGTGGACGGTATTTTTGACCATTGCATGGGGTGGTCAGAAATACCGACAAGCTTTTTTTTTTTTGGATCCCAAAAGTGATCGGAAATGCGGTCGAAACAATGGTTTTTTTACTGGATTTTGGTGACTTCCAACCACTCTTTGGTGGTTGGAAAATCGTTGATTTCCAGCCGTGACTTAATTTTTTGAACTTTGAATTAATATTAATTTTTGTTAAACTTTAAAGTTGGATTGTGAATTCACAATGTTAGTATTTTTAGATTTTATGTATTTTTTGAATAATAAAATTAGAAAGGAAAAAAAAAATTGCGGGCCGACTTGGGGCCCGTCAACTCGCAAGCATGGGCGAGCTAGGGTTGCATTAGACCGCGAGCAGGCCTGCTTTGACAATGTTAATCAAAATACTCATATGAAAAAGTGAATTTATTTATTTTTTAGTTTCAATAATGCATTCAAATACTACAAATGCTAAATTAAAGGTTTAAATACGATACTTAGACCCGATTTGGTAACATATAATTAGCTTATTAGTTAATTTTGATTTATTTTATCACTATTAGCTGTTTGGCTTGATTAAATAACTAATATAAGCGTTTGATTAATTAACTTGTTATAACAACTTATTGCTTCAAAATGTAAAAATTAAATTCAAAAAGTTGTTTAAAATAACTTTTTCGATAAGCTGTTTGAGAAAGTTATTTTGAATGTAATAAGTTATATATTAGCTAATTTACCAAACACATTTTTACAATCAGCTAATGCTATCAACTAGTTAAACGCATTAACCAATCAGCTAACAGATCAAATACCCATCTTAATATTTTTAGCTAATTTTTTTCAATAGAATTATAAACAGCATTAATTAATAGAACGCAACTTTTCAAAAGTTAAAATTGCCTTGATATGAAGTGTGATATATTTGTGAAATTTTGAACATATAGTTTGGTCCAGGCCAATCTCTTCTTTGTATTTGATTTGGATGGTTTAATAAAATGTTTGGGATTCCAAAAAGACCCTAAACCTTAAACTAAGTTACCGCGAAATTAAATGCAACAAATTTTCATTTAATCATTTAAGTCATCAACAAACGTAACTAGAAGATATGTTCAAAGCATGAGGGATTCAATTGGATTTGCGTATAAAAAGTAATGTGCAATGCAAGTGTACAACTTAATTTCTAAATAAATGACACAATACGTAACGTCGCTACGCAATGTATTTAGGGATTCAACATGCACATCCTCCTTTCTGTTGCTCGATTCCTGATACAGATTCTGGTATTCTTTGAAGATGTCTGCAAAAAAAAAAAAAAAAAAAAAAAAAAAAAGTTGCAAACATGTGTGTGTCAAAAAAATGATGAAATTCTAATTTCATTTTGACACGATAACATAATAACACTAGCTAGCTACTTACATATGCGATGGCATTTCCTCTTCTAGTACCTGCCAACTGGTTCAAAGAACAACAAGAAATAGATTTAGATCAGAAACATTAATTAATGTAACACGATTTATATATATGATATTATTATGCGTAAACTCGATCAAACGTCCATCCACATGAGAATTGAAGTTCGTTGTTGAAAAATGAAAATACTGACAAGCTGTTTTCATCTTCATTGGCGAGTGCGAGTTTTGCAGCACAAAGAAATGCAGCACCCACGTTGTAATCCTCCTTGGCGGAGGTAATGAAGTAAGGTATGTTTCCCTTGGAAGTGCACCATTCCCTTGCTCTCTTCTCAGATATCTGCAGATCATATATCAATTCAAGAACCATTATATATTCCGGCCTATATATATATACACACACACACATATATATAATGAATTACAGGCTGCGGGCATTATATATGCTTACTGTTTCATCATTCCTTTCTTTGCTTTCTAAATCTGCTTTGTTTCCCATTAATATGAAAGGGAATTTCTCAGGTTCAGTCAACCCTGCCTGAAAAAAAAAAAATATTAAAAAAAAATAAAATAAAAAATGAGTTAATACCCAAAATCGTCCTCGATTATAGTGGTTTTTCTCAATTTCGTCCTAAACGACTTTGGTGACCTAATATCGTCCCAGACTTTTGTGTTTCGCTCAATTTAGTCCCAGACTTTTGTGTTTTTGCTCAATTTAGTCCCTCATTTGTTATTTTGTCCATTTGGTGTTAAATAAATAGACAATTCAGTAATTTTAATATTGGCATATCTTTACTCATAGACATGTGAACTGCGAAATCCTTTTTTTTTTTACGAATTACTACCAGAATTACTTCTAAAACCGCGAATATAAAATTTGATTTGCAGGTCCGGGAGTAATTCTGGGTGTAATTCGTACAAGAAATAGGAATTTCACATTTCACAAGTTGAAAGTAAAGAGAGATCAACATTGACATTACTGAATTGTCCCTTAATTTAACACCAATTTGACGGAATAACAAATTGAGGACTAAATTGAGCGAAACACAAAAGTCTGGGACGATATTAGGTCACCAAAGTCGTTTAGGACGAAATCGAGAAAAACCATTATAGTCGATGACGATTTTGGGTATTAACTCAATAAAAAATATATATATAGTAATAATTAACCTGTTTGATGAACTCTTCATGCCAGTGTTGAAGAGTCTGGAACGATTTAGGTGCATTGACATCATAGACAAGAACGCAGCAATCTGCTCCTCTGTAAAACGCGACTCCTAGGCTGTGAAATCTTTCCTGCCCTGCTGTATCCCAAATCTGCAACAACTTCCAACCCATGAACGTGTTGAGCATATAACCATTAATGTGCAATCCAACTATCAATTTAGGCTTTTAATTAAGATGAAGCACATGCTTCAATTGAACAAAACGCATCCTTAATTTTTTCACTAGCTAATAATATATAACGACTTACTTGCAAGGTGACAACTTTCTCATCAATCTCAACTTCTTTGGTCACAAAATCCGCCCCTATTGTTGCCTTGTACTGCTCTCTGAATTTCTTGTATACATATCTGCAATGCCAGTCAAGGCAACAAAAAGGGATCGACTACCTATACTTCTCCCAAAATATTGATAAATACGTAAAAATATTATTTATTATATCGTGGATACTGATTCACCAGAGAAGTCTTTCCCACTCTGAAAATTCATCATTAAAAAAATATATATATATCACATATGAAAAATTGAAAATTAAAGTAAAATCTAGCTTACCCGCAATCTCCCAGCACAATCACCTTAAGCAAACTTCTTGAGGAAGTGGACATGATATATAGAAAAAAGTACTGTAATATAGTGTGTAGTTGTACGCATGCAATATATATGAGGAGGCCGGGCTTTAATTTGCTTTTGTATTTAAAGATTTAAGCTATGGAGTTCTCCAGAACGGGGTATAATTAATAAAGTGGCCGGGTTAGTTGGTGATCGAAGGATCAATATCTGGGCGAAATAATTAATATGATGAGGATAAAGGTTGACATTTTTTAGGCCATTCTCCAATATTCTTCTCCTTTGAGAACACCCCTGAAAGACCGGCTGACAGCAAATAAAGCTAACATTTTGTCAACTTAATTATAGTCTCGAGTTTTATTAAATACGGTGTAGCTTTTTTTTTTCTTCCGATCCAAGAGGTCGTGCATCCCACAAATGAAGTGTTTAGGTGGTTGTCATTCCATGACTTAGTTGGTTTTAAAGTGATAGATTATATTATGGGGGACAAAGTACCTCCTATTAGATCCTTATATTGTAGCATTTTGTTCAATGTAGTCCCTATATCTTAATTTTGTTTAATTAAATTATGTACTTTAAGATTTAGAACAATTAAGGACAATACTTAACACCGTTAACTTTTTCTCCGTTAAGTTTGTCCACGTGACTTTGGATTTGTCATGTCAGATTGTGTGATGTGGTATAAAATAACTATTATATATTATATAGTACTTCAGATTCTATAAACCTTAACCGGATCTGAAACCGTACGGACGGTTCCGGTTTCGGTTCGGTTAGTACAGTGCCTCAGTTACGGTTCAAACATCCGATTCGAACCGAACTGGTCATCCCTACTCAAACCTAGAACCTTTGCTTTAAAGGATGAGCTCTCCACCGCTAAGCTACACGTAGCACTTGTTTAATGTTAGTTAAAATTATATAATAATAGTTATTCTTCTGAAGTACTATATAATAATAGTTATTTTATGCCACATCACACAATCTGACATGGCAAATCCAACGCCACGTGGACAAACTTAACGGAAAAAATTAACGGTGTTAAGTATTGTTCTTAATCGTTCTAAATCTTAAAGTACAGTGATTAAATTGAACAAAATTAAGGTACTGAGACTAAATTGAACAAAATGCTACAATACAGAAACCTAGAAGGTACTTTGACCTATTATGGGCAATGATATATGGTCGAGTTTAGATATTGATGGAATTAATTAAACCGGGGGTCCGACTTAACTAACCCGAATGAGAATATGAATAATAAAGAGATGATACGAGTGATATAGCGAAGGCCGTGAGACCGTAAATTGTATTAAATGCCATGGAATTGGCTATTACAATGATTCTTCAGTACAAAGTGTGTCCGTAAAATAGATCGTGTCCTAACTGGACAAGGTGGGGGGTTTTTATACAACCCCCGCCCCTAACCGCCACCCCCTAAAGCGGGGGGTGGTTAGATCCGAGTTGACCGCGCCCGGTCTCGCGACCGGGCCGTGCTGTGGGGCCAGGCCGAGCCCGTCATGGGCTCGGGCCGAGCCCATCTGGAGGTCGGCCCGGCCTCCGACGTGGCCCGTGCGGGGGCCACGTGGCGGGGCCCCGTCCGGGGCGGGTACGTGGCGCCGCCCCGGGCCCCGTTCTTGTCCGCGCTCTCGGGTCGGTGCGGGTCGGTTCCTAATATATCCATCATCAGTCCCCCACTCTCCGAGCTGCGAGTAATCGTCAGTGAAGCAGAGTAGACGCTCTGGCCGACCTCCAAAAATGCCGACCCCAAGACGCCCGCGTCCCCGCGTTATAGATGTCGTCCAAGTGTGCTTCTCGCGATAATGATGAACAAACTCCCTCCGGAATATGACTCCTTCATCTGTTAGGACACATACACAGTGGAGTCCTCTTAGGTCTTGGTCATCTTCTCCAAGTCAACCAATCACATCCATCTTTTCAACCAATCACATCCCTCTTTTCATCTTCCCCCCCCCCCCCCCCCTTTTTTGCATTTTGAATTTCAAAACTCCCCCTCTTCTATATAAACCCCTTCCCTTCTTTCATTCTCCACTTTCCATCACTCCAACACCCATCCTCTCCCTCAAAATTCCGGCGAGCCCCCCCCCACCGGATTCCGGCGACACCTCCGGCGAGCCACCACCGGATTCCGACGAGCTCGCGGCAACAAGCTCCGGCCGACCTCCCACTACCCCGTCGCCGAGCCCCGTAGGCCCGAGCGTGGTACGCCCCTCTCTCTTCCCTCTTCCTCTTTTTTTTTTTTTTTTTTTTCGCCATGGTGCTGGGCTGCTCCGGCGGCGCCGCTGCCCGCGCCCCGGTGCTGGGCTACTCCGGTGGCGCCGCCGCCCCGTCGCGGTCGTGCCACGGTGGCAGGCTGCTCCGTCGTGGTGGCGCTGTCCGGCCACTGCTACGGGGGCGGCTCGCCAGCCACGCTCCCGTGGTCCCCGGCCGACCTCTCGGGTTCAGGCCCCGGCGAGGTCGTGCCGGCCTGCCCTGTTGAGGCCGGGCCGACCCCGTTCGCCGAGGCCATGCCGGCCTGCTGCTCTGCTAAGGTCAGGCCGACTTTGACCTCGGCCTAGGGTCGAGGTCCTCCAACTTGCACCCCCCCCCCCCCCCCTTTTTTTTTTCTTTTTTTTTTTTTTTGAACACGCCGTCCCTCACGGCGCCGGTGCGCCGGCGTCGTCGCCACGGGGTGGGCCTACAGGCCGCAGCTCCGTGGCGTCGTCGCCACGGGGTGTGCCGACCTTGACCTCGGCCTTGGGCCGAGGTCCTCTAAAACCGCCCCCCCCCCTTTTTTTTTTTTTTTTTTTTTTTTTCGAACACTCCCCGGTCTTACACCCCTTCTTCTTTATCTCGTAGGTTTAGTTGGTGCATGTACACTTCTTCCGGTTCCTTGGACGATTTTTTGGACTCCGTAGACACTCACGTCCTCCCCATGGACGAAACTAGCGACCCCCCCCCACTCCTTTTCCTGCTCATTCCCCCTCTGGGGAGGTCACCATGCCGTACGAGGGTCCGTTGGACGCCCATCCTCCCGTCATGAAGGATCCCTTCGTAGTCCCGTACGAGGATCCCGTCCAGTACACTCCTCTGGAGACACTTGTCGCGGCCTCGACCTTGGCTCAGACCTCTGTGCAGGAGTTTGAGGAGGCCAAGAGCTATGTTGGATCTGCGGGCGAGGTACGCCTGCCTTCTCCGTCGGGGAATGTCACCGAGCCGCCGACACCCCTCTTCTTCGGGGTTCACGTGCAGTCCATGTACCTTGGTTTTCGCTTCCCTATTCATCCCTTCGTCGAATCCTTCCTCAACCACTACGGCATCGCACCCGGGCAGTTGGTGCCGAATGCCCATTACTTACTTCTTGCCTTCTTGCTTCGCTACCACACCATTCGTGTCAAGCCCTATATGGATCTCTTCCAGAGTTTGTTTCAAGTCACCTCGTCCTCCGGCCAGGCCAGTAAGGGGTTTGTGGGTATAGCGGCCCGGACGCGTATGAAGACGTTCCATGACTTCAATCAGACCAACAGAGATTGGAAACCGCACTTTGTCTTCATCTCGGTTGGTGATCGTCGGCCGTTCCTATCTTGGAACAACAGGTTTGTGCGCCACAGGGACCCGCTCCAGACGGCCGCTCTAGCCCGGGACGTCCATGCCTTCCGGGGCGATCGGGGAGAGATTATCATTGGCGAGATGATTACGCCGGAGAACATGCGTAGTCTGGGCTTTGTATCGGATGGGCCGCTACCACCTCGTATTCGCCCGCGCCTTCTGCGTACGCCCCAGTCGGATGCACGTCCCTTGATCGAGTTGTCGGACGATGAGCCCCCAGAGCAGTCCCCGGGATCCTCGGGTTCTTCGGGCGAGGTCTTTGCTGAGCCCAGGTCCTCCGGATCCCCCTGTCGGCCCTTCGCGTGCCTCTACTCGTGGTTTGTTCCCTTTTCCTTCGCTGGCCCGTTGTTTGTGCATATGGCTTATGGATTAACCCTTGCTCGTCTCCTTTTGCAGCGAGATCTCCCATCATGTCTTCATTTCGTGAGCGCCTTGAGCGTGTCGTGGCGCGTGGCCCCATTGCGAAGAGACAGAAGGTTACCGCGCAGTCTGGCGTCCTCCCTTCTGAGCCTGGTGCGCCCCCACTGGGAGGGACGCGGCCGCAGGCGAGTCGCCCCCCTGTACCACCGGCTGTACCGCCCCCGTCGCCGCCTGCCGAGCACGCGACGCAGAGCTTGCCCCCTGTCGTTCGAGAGGCCCTCCGTACCATCGAGGTATGCATTCTTGCTTGTGACTTCCTTTATTGCACTTAGTCCTCGATGTTGCTTTGTTATGATTGTGTCTCTTCTCAGGGTTGGACCGTGTCCACCGTGGCCCTTGTCGAGGATGAGCAGGCTCGCGCTCGTGAGCTGGTGCGAGCTTTGGAGGCCGAGACCAGGCGGGCCGATGAGGCGGTCAGGCGTGATGCTGAGTCCCGGAAGGCCCTGGAGGCGGAGCGGAAGAGGCATGCGGAGGAGCTTGCACAGGTCGTCCCCGCCTACAAGAAGTCGGATGAGTTTGAGCGCGATGCCGAGGAGTATGTCCGTGGGCGCAGCGGCGATATAGTCACCTCGTGGCTAGCTAGCGATGCTGGGAAGGAGACGATTGCGGAGGAGAGTGCTATGGCCTTCCAGGTGGGCCGATATGCTATGCAGCGGGAGATCTACACCGCCCTTCGTCAGAAAGGAGATGCCTTCGACCCGGTCGCCCTTAAGCTGCCGGTCGAGATGGAGAACCCCGAGCCAGTGACCCCTGCGGCGGGCTTCTCACTATCACCCCTTGATCGTGTCGACGAGCCTGTGGAGTTGGTGGCCTCCTCGGGAGTTATTTCTCCCACTTTGCTGAGCGTTCATGTTCCTGACTTGGATGAGGGGGCCGAGGGAGTGACCGTTGCCGTTGCACCGTCGACTGAGCTGCCACTTGCCGCCACGCCGGGTTTGGATGAGCAGCCTTGATTGTGCTCGTTTCAGCTCCTTCCCTGTTTTGTGTATCCGGGCATAGACTTTAGACGTGTACTCTTGCCCTCTTTTGCTGTTTGTTTCCTTTGATGACTCTTCCTGCTTTATCTTGCTGTGCTTCGAATGTTGGATCTTCGTTATATGTTTATGACTTATGTTTGATTATGCGTTCCTGCTGCCGTAACCATGTTGGGGTTTTTTTTTTTTTTTTTTTTTTTTTTTTTTGAGTGTCCGACCAATGCCGGGGATCTTGATGCAGCGTGGCGCACCCCGGCGGTACGGCCGAGGTGCACGCAGCATGGTGCACCCCGACAGCACAGCCGAGGTGCACGCAGCATGGTGCGCCCCGGTTGTGCGGCCGAGGCGGCACCTTGCTGCGCCCCGATGTCGCCGGGGCGTGATAGGCCTATCTTTTTTTTTTTTTTTTTTTTTTTTACCATGTGTTAGCCTCTTCGACAAAGTTCGAGGGGACTATGTCATCGGGCTCTCCCGTCGGGGTTGGTACGCGATGCCGGACCTCGTGCCCCCTTAGGGTGCGTTAGCCTCTCAGGCTAAGTCCTTGCGGACTACGCCACCGGGCTCTTCCGTCGGGGTTTGTACGCGAGGTCGGACCTCGTGCCCCCTTAGGGTGCGCCAAACCACTTGGGCCCAGTCCTGTCGGACCAGGCCTCCGGGCTCCTCCGTCGGGGTTTGTACGCGAGGTTAGACCTCGTGCCCCCTTAGGGTGCGCGTTAGCTGCTCGGGCACGGCCTATCAAGACCGTGCCACTGGGCTCTTCCGTCGGGGTTTGTACGCGAGGTCGGCCCTCGTGCCCCCTTAGGGTGCGTCCTCCGTCGGGGTTTGTACGCGAGGTCGGGCCTCGTGCCCCCTTAGGGTTCGCTGGGGGGTAAGACATGAGTAAGCACTCGTTCCCCCCTGTTTCGTGATTTTTTCTACTTTTTTTTTTAAGGGAGATAAAATGCATGAGAACCAACTTTGTAGCAAAAGGATCCTGCGCACAATGTGTTCTGTAATATGCGATTTTATTCTGACTATTGCCGCTCACTAAGACATTATTAGGGGAGGGGAATGGTCCTCCTCCTAGAATAGCACGCCAAGACCCGCCTCTCACGTGGTAGGTCTACTGGTAAAATTTCAGCAGGTGCTCTGAGTTCCAGACCCTGGCTATCATCTTTCCTTTGGGAGTTTTGAGCTTGTAGCTGCCCGGGCGGACCACGGCTGCTATAATGTACGGGCCCTCCCAATTAGGGGCAAATTTTCCTCCCGCCTGGGGCTGGCTTGCCTCTCTCCTCCTGAGTACGTAGTCTCCCGCTTGGAAGTAGCGGGGCCGTACCCGCTTGTCATGGTAAGCTTTGGTTTGCCTCTGATAATTCTCGGCTCGAATCGCAGCTGCTTCGCGCCTGTCATCGATCAGGTGGAGGTCAGTTCTATGGTGCTCCTCATTCGTGTCGGGGTCGTAGTCCTCCTCCTGGCGGGAAGGTATGACTACCTCTGCCGGGGCTCGAGCTTCGAACCCGTAGGCCAGGGAGAAAGGTGTCTCCCCCGTGGCCCTCCGGGGGGTGGTGCGGTAGGCCCACAAAATGGCGTCGAGCTCCTCTACCCACGCCCCCCCTGCGGATTCCAATTTCTTTTTCAGACCGCCCACTATGGTGCGGTTGGCATTCTCCACCTGCCCATTTGCTTGGGGATAGCACACGGCCACCCGACTGTGAGTAATGTGCCATTCTGCACAGAACCCCTTGAACTCTTGCCCCTCGAATTGGCGTCCGTTGTCGGTGATGAGTTGCATCGGGACCCCAAAATGGCACAAGATGTTTTTGTACACAAAGTGCTTGCAACGGGTGCTTGTTATGGTTGCCAGTGGTTCCGCCTCCACCCACTTGGTAAAGTAGTCCACTGCCACTATGAGGTATTTCCTTTTTCCCGACCCCATAGGCAGAGCTCCCACTAGGTCCACTCCCCACCTGGAGAAGGGGATGACCGAGCTGATGGGGGTGTAGCTCGTGGCGGGTCGGCCGAGGGTGACCTGGAAATGCTGGCAGGTTTCGCAACCCCTAGCGTAGTCAGCGCACTCCTTGGCCATTTTGGGCCAAAAGTACCCTGTATGATGGCCCTTCGGGACACGGCGAAGGCCCCTTGGTGGGCGGAGCAAGTCCCCTCGTGGATTTCTTCCATGACTGCCCTGGCTTCGTCCGGGTACAGGCAGCGCAACAAGGTGCCGTTATAGGACCTCTTGTAAAGTGTGTACCCCATGATTACGTACGTGGGGGCTCGTCGTCTCACCAATTTGGCATCGGCCTCGTCGGGAGGCAGTGCACCTGTTCTCTTGTATTCCTTGAGGTGGTCTAGCCAGCAAGGAGGCCTGGTTTGCACGGGTAGGACCGGGTAGGCGTCCAGGCTCGACCTCTCGAAATCCTCGATTCGAGCTATTTTTGAGATATGTACTGGGGCCCCTTGGGCGAGTTTGGACAAGATGTCAGCGTCTGTATTCTGGTCCCGAGGTACCTGTAGGACCTCGTAGTTGATCAGCTGCCCCAATAGCTGGAGCACCACGTCCCGGTACCTCCTCATTCTTTCGTCACTTGCCTCAAATTCACCTGTGACCTGTCCCACGACGAGTCTGGAGTCACACCGGATTTTGAGCTTTTTCACCCTCATGTTTAGCGCGAGGCGGAGCCCCACTAGGAGCGCCTCATACTCGGCTTCGTTGTTGGATAACTTGAACGCGAAGCGGAGGGCGTAGTAGGCCCAGAACCCCTCCGGGGTTATGAGTACGACCCCACCCCCGCAACTTTTGGCGCTGGAGGACCCGTCCGTTGAGAGGGTCCACCATTCCTCGTCGTCCTCTCGGACCCGCCCCGTGGCCTCCCGGGCGGTGCACTCGACTATGAAGTCAGCCAGTGCCTGCCCCTTGATGGCGGGTCTGGGCTTGAATTGGATGTCGAATTGGCTCAGCCGCATGGCCCACCTGACCAACCTGCTGGCCGACCCCGAGGCCCTCATCACCGCGTCTAGTGGCTGATTTGTGAGGACCTGCACGGGGTGGGCCTGGAAGTAGTGGTTCAGCTTTTTCGCCGTCGCATCTACCGCGAAGATAGCCTTCTCCACGGGTGTGTACCTGACCTCCGCCCCCCGTAGAGCTCGGCTCGTGTAGTATACGGGCCGCTGGACCCCCTCATCGTCCCGGACCAGCACGGAGCTGACCGCGGCCTGCGAGATGCCCAGGTAGAGGTACAGGACCTCCCCCTTAACGGGTTTGGCCAGGGGGGGGAGTGACATGAGGTACGTCTTGAGGTCTTCGAACGCCTTCTGGTACTCTTCGGACCACTCGAAGCCCTTCGTCTTTTTGAGGACTCCAAAGAATGGCAACGATTTCTCGGCCGACCTCGAAAGGAAACGGCCCAAGGCTGCCAACCGGCCGTTGAGGCGCTGGACCTCCCGGAGGGACCTCGGAGGTTCCATGTCCAGGATGGCCTTGATCTTGTCGGGGTTGGGCTCAATTCCCCTCTTCGAGACCATGTACCCCAAAAACTTCCCCCCGTGTACCCCGAAAGTACACTTCTTGGGGTTCAACCGTAAATTGAAGCGTTGCATAATCGAAAATACCTCGGTAAGGTCGTCCGTGTGGAGGTCGGCGTCGGTGCTCTTGACGATCATGTCGTCAGGCGTAGGCCTGGAGGTTGCGGCCGAGGACCTGCTTGAACACCTTGGCCACCATTCGAGTGTAGGTGGCGCCCGAATTTTTCAGTCCAAAAGCCATGACTTTGTAGCAATAGACCCCCTCTGGCGTGGTGAAGGCCGTCTTCTCCTCATCGGCTTCCTCCATGAAAATTTGGTGGTACCCCCGGGACGCATCTAGGAAGCTCATAAGGGCACAACCTGCAGTCTCGTCCACCAGCTGGTCAATGTTGGGGAGGGGGAAGGGGTCCATAGGGCAGGCCTTGTTGAGGTCGGTGTAGTCCACGCACATCCTCCAGGTGGGTGGCTTCGGGGCGAGGACTATGTTTGCTAACCACGTGGGGTATATGACCTCCCGGATATGGCCAATCTCTAGCAGGGTATCGACCTCCTTTTTGACGAACTCCCTCCTCTCAGCGGAGAGGTACCTTTTGCGTTGCTGGACTGGCTTGACCGCGGGGTCGACAGCCAGCTTGTGCGTGATCACGTCTCGGCTCAGGCCCGGCATATCCTCGGGGCCCCATGCGAAGACCTCCTTGTAGCTCCTGATGGTGTCGATTATCCGTGCCCGGAGGTCGGCCGGGAAGCCGACCCCTACCTTCACGACCCGGTCAGGTCGGCTGAGGTCGAGGATGACCTCCTCTGTCTCGACCACGGGCTCGGCTCGAGGTCGACCTGCCTCCTCTCGAAACGCCTTTTCAGCAATGGTATGGACCTGGAGGTCCTTCTGACCAATTTGGCAGCACGCCTTCAGGTAGCAGCTGCGGCTCACCTTTTGGTCTCCCCGGGCGACCCCAACCCCGGTTGGTGTTGGGAACTTGAGACACAGGTGCTCCATGGAAATCACACACCTGAGGTCCTCCAGGGCGGGCCGGCCGAGAATAATGTTGTGGGCGCAACTGATCTTGACGACTACGAACTCAACCTCCCACCTCCTGGTGTGCGGTGGGGTGCCTATCTCCACCTCCAAATTGATCGACCCCTCCGTTTCGATCGAATCCCCCGTGAACCCGGACAGGGGGGTCCGTACCTGCTCCAGCTGTCCTCTTGAGAATCCCAGCTGGGTGAACGTGTCGTAGTACATGACGTTTACCGAGCTGCCCGTGTCTACGAGCACCCGGTGCACCACCACGTTGTTTATGTCCAGCTTAACCACCAGGGCGTCTCGATGGGGGAGGGGCCCATCTGGCAGGTCGGCGTCGGTGAACATGATGGGTTCCCTCTTTGGTTTCTTCTCGTGGGGGGTACGTGTTACCTCCCCCACGTACAAGCTCCTCGCCCACCTCTTCCGCTCGGCTGGTGAGTCCCCTCCCTCGGGCCCCCCAAAGATGACGTAGATGGTCCGCTTCTTCGGGGGCTGGGAGTCCTCCGTCGTCTTCTCCTCCTCCTCGGAGCTGTGGTCGTGGTGGTCCCTCTTGCGGGGAGCCGAGGTGGATGGCGCCTGGCCACCCCCCTTCCTCCATACGTTGCCTAGCTTCTGGCCCTGCGCCTGCCCTTGTGCCTGCCCTTGCGCCTGGCCGGGCCTCTTAATGAATTGGCCGAGGTAACCCATTTGGATGAGTTCCTCGATTTGTCGCTTCAAGAGGATGCATTCGTCTGTATCGTGCCCCTTCTGCCTGTGGAACCTGCAGTACTTGTTGGGATCCCCCCTCGCCGATATCTTCATGCACTCCTCCTTCGGGAACACCACGACTCCCTGGTCATCCGCGTGCGTCAAGATGGTACCCACTGGTTGTGTCAGCGGGGTGAGATAGCGTGTGGGGTTCAGTCTGGGCCCCTCAGCGTACTCACGTCGGTGCGGCCGCGGCGCTTTGCGCTCCTCCTGGGGTGCCTTGTCTTTTCGACCACATCCTTCCTCCTACTCTTTCTTCCTCTTCTCGGCAGCCTCGGCGTCAGCGTACCTTGCTGCCTTATCCATCAGGTCGTTATAGGTCCTGGGGGGGTACCTGATGAGGTCTTGGTGAAAGGCGCCCGACCTCAGGTTGTTCCGAAAAATCACTATGGCCGACTTCCCATCAAAGTCGGCGACCCCCATGGCCTCTTTCTTCCACTTGCTAAGGTACTCAACGAGTGATTCCGAGCTCCCCTGCTTCAAATCACACAGGTCGGCAATTTGCTTCTTCCGCTGTATGCTGGTGGCGAAATGGGATAGGAACTGCCGGGTGAGGTCCGCGAAGGTGGAGATGGACCCCGCCGGGAGGGACCCGAACCAATCGTGTGCCTGCCCGTCCAGGGTGGCGAAGAACCCCCTGCATAGGATGGCGTCTGTTGCCTCGGTGATCATCATGGCGGCTCTGTACCTGGTCAGGTGTGCCTGCGGGTCCGTGGTCCCCGAGTATGCTTTAATGGTGGGAAAGCGAAAGTCTCGAGGTAGGGGCTCTGCCATGATGGTGTCCGCGAATGGGGAGGCCAACACGTCCTGGGGCTCCGGAGACCCGTCCCTCTCATCAATCTTCCGTTGGAGCTCGTCTATCCTCCTCTGCAGCTTCTCGACCTCCACCCGATGGGAGCTCGGAGCTCTACCTTTCGTTTCCCCCGATCGTTTGACCCGGGAGGCCTGCTCGCGTCGCGGGTGGAGTCGGGGGACCCGACCTGCTGACCCGCACGAGGCTGCCTCGTGTCGCGGCGGGGCGCGGGGCCCACGGCTCGGCGACCTCCGAGTGACCGATCCCTGTCGTGGCGGCCGGCGGGAGCATGACTCCGCCGCCGGTGGCCCATTGGCCGGCCTCGGACCCAACCTATCCCGGGCTGTCACGCGATCGCCCAATCTCTCCAGGGCAGGCCTGGTTTGGGTCGGCGCCCTTCCATCGTCGTCACGCTGACGGTCTCGGCGGGAATCTCCTCCTCCCCGCCTCTCCGATGGTCGAGGCGAGGTGACCTCCCCCTGGGTGACAGGTGCCTGGGGCGGTCGGGTGCTCGGGCCGCTGCGCCCCCGGGTAGGAGGAGGCGGAGGCGACGCCGGCGCCCCCCCCGGCGGCGCCCAGGGCGGCTTGTTCCTCTGCTCGGAGGCCCGCCGCGACGCGCGCCAGCGCGGTGGAAGCTTGCTCGAAGACCGCCACCCCTTCCTGGATGAGTGCGCGAGCTGGAGCGGGGGCGGCGGGGGGAGCTGGTGGCGCACCGCTACTGCGGTGGTTGGTGAGCTGGGCCCTCAGATCCTCCCCCGACCTGGCGGAGGCGGCTGGTTGGAGGCTGGGAGCGGGGGCCCCGTTGGGGCCGTTCCCGTTCGCGACGAGCTGGGTGCCGCGGGAACCATTGGAATGACGAGAGCTGGATCTCGATCGTGCCATCGCTGTCGATGAACAATAGTGGGGAGAGAGCGCTTAAGCTTGTACAACAACTCTCAACAAGAGTACCACTGATGGAATTAATTAAACCGGGGGTCCGACTTAACTAACCCGAATGAGAATATGAATAATAAAGAGATTATACGAGTGATATAGCGAAGGCCGTGAGACCGTAAATTGTATTAAATGCCGTGGAATTGGCTATTACAATGATTCTTCAGTACAAAGTGTGTCCGTAAAATAGATCGTGTCCTAACTGGACAAGGTGGGGGGTTTTTATACAACCCCCGCCCCTAACCGCTACCCCCTAAAGCGGGGGGTGGTTAGATCCGAGTTGACCGCGCCCGGTCTCGCGACCGGGCCGTGCTGTGGGGCCAGGCCGAGCCCGTCATGAGCTCGGGCCGAGCCCATCTGGAGGTCGGCCCGGCCTCCGACGTGGCCCGTGCGGGGGCCACGTGGCGGGGCCCCGTCCGGGGCGGGTACGTGGCGCCGCCCCGGGCCCTGTTCTTTTCCGCGCTCTCGGGTCGGTGCGGGTCGGTTCCTAATATATCCGTCAGATATAATATAGTTAACTCTTTGTGAACATCAGACATTGGTCCTCCCACCTAATGTATTTACGTGGGGGTTTGGTAAATGGTTATTAGCTGATAGTTATTAGTTGATTGGGTTAGTGAGTTTGACTAGTTAATAAAATTAGCTGATTATAGAAAAATGTTTGATGAATTAGTTGTTAGCTATTAGCGATTATATACAAAATGACTTTCTCAAAAAGTTGATTGAAAATGCTACTTTGAGCAGCTTTTTGAATTTTAGCATTGGAGCAATAAATTGTTACAAAAAGTTAATTAATCAAACACTCATATTGATTATTTGACCAAGTCAAACAACTAATAGCAGTCGAATAAATCAAATTGACTGATAGACTAAGTAGTTTACAAAATAGAACCTATATATTTTTGTAATTTATTTATATACTTATCTTGTCAAGCTAAGGTGTGAGGCTAGGAATTCGTCCACAAGAGCAAGTATTTAGGTTGTTGGCTTCTTGCTAATTAGCATTATCATTGTTAATTTGCTCTCATTGAACATATTATCCCAAACAACACAATATGTTCATCACATCTTTGATCTTCTTCTTTCCTTCCGATTTATATTTTCTGAATTTAACCTTTGCTTAATTCAGTAGTGGAGGCTGGAGCTGAGATTTTGTCAAACAGATCCGAAAGCATTAAGCATTTAAGCAAAGAAAGTTTCTATTTTGAGAGCAAGTAATTAATTAAGTATTAATAAAGTTAAAATCTTTAATAAGACAATAATTAAATAATAACAATTTTACTAGAATTCACATATTAAATACAAGTAAGTTGCAAGCAAAAGTAAACTCAAAATTCATTTCGATAATTTTAATTTGCAATCTAAAAAAATTAATATCAAAATTTAATACTAGCAGTTACATATTTAAGAGCAAGCTATAAAATAAAATTTCCTAATGCGGAGTAATGTAATATCAACCTTGAAGAATAAATAAACAATCAAAATGTCTAACAAAAAGTATTTATTAATGAATATATTGAACTGACCGCTATGTAGATTAAAGAATTTGTTAGCTAATTTCATAATCATCTTCTTTTGAAATCAAAGATTTCTCATACGAAACAATATAAGGAAAAAAAGAAAAAAAGTATTGATGATGAT